AGACCCTAAAGAAGTGAAGCCCTAAGTGAAACCCAAGACATCCTAAAGGAGCGAAGCCCGAAGCCAAACCCAAAGAGACCCTACAGGAGCGAAGCCCTAAGCAAAACCAAAAGAGACCCTAAAGAAGAAGTGAAACCCTAAGTCCCTCGCGTGAAGGCCTAAGTCCAACCCAAAGACATCCTAAAGAAGCAAAATAAACCCTAAAGGAGCGAAGCCCTAAGCAAAACCAAAACAGACCCTAAAGAAGTGAAGCCCTAAGACCAAAGAAACCCTAAAGGAGCGAAGCCCGAAACAAAAACCAAAAGGGACCCTAAAGAAGTGAAGGCCTAAGTCCGACCCGAAGACATCCTAAAGACGCAAAACCCGAAGCCCAAGCACAAGAAACCCTAAAGGAGTGAAGCCCTAAGCAAAACCAAAAAAGACCCTAAAGAAGTGAAGCCCTGAGTCAAACCCAAAGACATCCTAAAGCAGCAAAGCCCTAAGCCAAACCAACCAGAGACCCTAAAGAAGTGAAGCCCTAAGTCCCTCACAAGTGAAGGCCTAGGTCCAATCCAAAGACATCCTAAAGAAGCAAGGCCCTAAGGCAAACCAAAGGAACCCCAACGGCTCACTTTTGCAGGAAGTCTCATACGAAACGCTCGTTCTGGAGACTTGCGCGGCTCACTTTTGGAGGAAGTCTCATACGAAACGCTCGTTCTGGAGACAAGCGCGGCTCACTTTTGGAGGAAGTCTCGTACGAAACGCTCATTTTCACTAGCAAATGATGCCTTCGAAGCACTACCGAAGGATGTGTGTTCCAAAATGATCCGCGAAACTGGTGTCAGACTGCAGTCCCGGAGAGTTTTTTTCCTCTGTGTTCCAAAATGATCCGTGTTCCAAAATGATCCGTGTTCCAAAATGATCCGGGTGCCGCGTGATGCCTTGCCTTTGATCACATCTTTTTGTGTTGGCAGTGTGTCGTTTTTTTTGTGGGCTGATTTAGTTTGCCCTTGGGGGGATGCGCTGCGCCCTCCCCCAAAGCCCTCCAGCATTTTCAGGCCAAGGAAGGTTAACCAGATTTCAAACAACAAAACAAAACCGCTGCCGAAATAAAGCCAAGCTCGCCACCAGAGAACAACTGCACCCTCCTCACAGGCACCAGGGGACTGCTGGGAATGTCCTAAAACAAATAGGGAGCAACCCTAAATTAAGAACAAAGAAAAATCCAAAACTAACATTGCAGCCTTCAATACAATTGATTGTTCTACAGAAAATGGGTATGGTTCAACACATGTCAATACCAAACACTCAGTCTACTATGTTTGACCTCAGTTAGACTCTTCTGAGTCAACCGTTTGCTCCCATCAACAGGCAGGGAACAGACCGGGGCTGAACAGGCAGGTGCTTTGCCACAGCTTTGGACATCCATGGATCGCCTCGGCACACGGCCACCCAGGAATTTTGGCCAAAGCATGTGCCGACAAACGAGAAAGAGCTACCAGGACCTTCCAACAGGTTTTTGCAAATGGCCTCTTTTGAGGTGATTCGGGGTGTCCAAAAACCACCAGACTTGGTTTCGGTCCTGGTATAGATGTTTTTTTTTCACTCCTGGTAGCTCCCTTGTGTTGATTTAGGGCATACACCTGTCGTGAACAGCAGCGGTCGGCTCCTGGTGCCGTGAACAGCAGCGGTCGGGTCGCAAGGACGATAGGACGGAAAAGAAACCATGTCGCAAAAGAAGACCTGTTTCCCTACATGTGGGTCAGGTTCCTCTACCAAGTCAGTGATCCCAGAGTTGGTTTTAAGGGAGAATCTACAGGAACCCCCTTGTTTTCACAGGGCTGTCCTGCAAATGTTCCCTTAAACCCATTCATTGAAGTGGGTGAGTGCCCCAAGATGCGTCTACATCTTGACGAGCTTCTGGGAGGGCCTGCTCAGATTGGTTTTTTTGTTCAGGAAGACCCTACTAGTAGCGTCCTTGCTCCTAGTAGCAATGCCCTTTGTTCCTAGTAGCTTCTTGCTCCTAGTAGCGATGCCAGGAGCCCCTGCGTCCTTGCTCGTTCAAGAATGGGTCTGGGTCAATGCCGAACATTCCAGATAGATTGACCCCATGGTAGATTGACTTCTCTGGTCGACTCTTCTTGCATATTCTTGCCCTCAAGAACAGCTGTTTGGAGTTTTGACCCCCGAGCCAAAAGTATCAAGACAACCAAACACATCCATCCTCATGTGGCCTGCTATAGGCACTGCCGCTTGGCCATGGTGGGATTTTTCTTCATGGTCTTGACCAACGCCTCTCGGCGGAATCCGTGGCCACAAACGATTTGATCATCAAACACCCAAGTGGCAACTTGGATCTTGGAAGCTCACGCCTCTTGGGCGTGTCCTTGTTTTCGTGTTGGTCAGAGGTGTGGTCGTGGGCTGAAAACGGCTTTGTCTCAAAGACATCACCGGTCGAATCTGCAGGGCCGTTGGACGCATCTTTTGTTGGTTGATCTGAGTGAGTGCGTCTGAGTGAGGTCCAATGGTCTCTTTGTATGGTCTTAACTGCGCCGTTCTCAGCAGTTTAGCAGGACAGGACACCCAACAGCTGCTTTGTGAACACGAAGTTCTACGCGAACCCTGTTGGAAGGGGGGATCCTCATGCTTGAGAGGAATGGTCAGAAGTAGGTTTACTTCATTGTGTGGCGAAATGTGCTTGTGTTGAGAAGGGCAGTGATTGCAAGTTTACTTGTAGGATCGTGCAGCTACGTTTTCCGTCCGTGTCGGCTAACACAGACAGAGAGAGAGAGAGAGACCCAGAAAAAAAGAAGAACTAAGAATACATATGCGCACGAGCACGGATTTGAAGATTTGTGTTTGTGATATAATACGACGATCCTTGAAGAAAAAAAACATGCACGACTCCAGCATCGTCGGAATCTCAGCACCCCGTCGACTCATGTCTCAGGGAGTCAGTTGCTCTTGGGGATCCCAACGCCTTGAAACCTGCTGCGCGAAGGGGACACGTGCGAATCTGCTTTGCTGATTTGTTGGCGAATCTTCCGACTAAAGCGAGATGAATCGAGATGAATAGATATGAATAGATAGTCCACTCAACATGCACGACCTACGTTTCTACAAGGTGTATGACCTACAACATCCTCAATCAACAGTCAACTGTTGCGTCCTGTGTTCAGAACCATGAAGAAGTTGTTGGTTGTAAGAATGCCTGCACCATCAAGCAGAACCCCACCCAAGTGGTTTACACTTGGAGCCTTGGTTACTGTCACCTTGAACCGGCCTTTCTTCTCCATCTCAGGTCCAGGTGCTTTTTGGGGTGTTTGGGGACCTTCAACACCAAAAAGGTGGCACGGAGGCTAGACATGGCTTCGACCTGATTTTTCTGCTTCGTTGGCATTGGAAAAAACGGATAGATCACCTCGTTGATGGCTGGATGGAAAAAGAACGGCATGAATCCAACGTTCAAGCGCTCCAACATCCCCCTTACGCAGCTCGCTCCATCCGAGTGACGCCTCGCTCCATCCAGTGCACCGGACCAGGCTTCGACGGGACAAGGTCCATCCCTCCTGCCCACCTACACCCAGGCGCGTGCGTGGCGTGGAGGATGGTGGAAGTGACCCGGGCCCCGGAGAAAAGGGTGGGAGTTGAATTGGGTTGAACAAAAGGGAATATGGGCGCTTTTTGCGGCAGGGATTGATGGTGCTACAGCATCATGTTGGGCTTGCAGAGGAGGGAGTTTCACCAAATCATCAGCATCTTTAACTTACAGTAAACTAGTAAACTCTTTTTGAAATCGTTGGACCAAGCCACCTCCAGTCCATCGCCCACCAGTCCGACCACAGTCGCTCCTTCTCGGCCGAACGGTGACGGCCGGACGGTGCGCAGAACGTCTCGCGCGCAACCGGCGCAACCGGTCAGGAGGAGTTCCAGTCCACCGTGGGTGATTTCATCCCCAAGGGCCTGTGAGACCGGCCACCGGAGTAGTCGCGAGAGTCGCTGGTGAGAGGAAGCCAATCTTCGAGGTCAGTTTTGGCACAAGAAAGTTGGAAGGAGTTCTCAATTGCTTTGAACTGGTAAGCCAAGCGATTTCTTTTCGATGGCCTCCCTGTTTGGGTCCCGGTTGTTTAGTTACAGTTGTTCGTTTGCTTTGCTGGTATACGAGTTAAGTTTCTTGATATGTAGTGGGGACTTGTTTTTGAAGCCCCAGGGAATGCTTAAGTTATTGTTAATTACCAAAATGTGTGTTCCCTCTGGACACTTGCATCTTTACAGTATAGATAATTACTTTGAACATTCTAACGTGATGTAAGTTCACCAATTCTGAATAATTCTGAAGGGAATTCTGCTCATGCCTCCGATCCCAGATCCCCCGCTTGAGCCGAGAGAGGTTACAAATAGATGGTGCAAAAGTGTAAAACATGCAGAGAGGGATGTAATGAGAAGCATATGTAACTAGTTATGTAACTCTATCTAAAAAGGACACATATATGTAATAGTTATATATAGGTGATGTCGTCCAAGTATCAAGATTCTCCACCTCCGGCGTTTTTGGAGCGTCTCACAAATGTGACCGCGCAGACGAGTAGCTCGAGCCGAGGAACAAGTGGCGAGCTTCGCCTTCGTCGTCGTGCCGGGTGAAGCACCGATCTTGTCAGAGCTGCATCTTCCAACTGTTGTCTTTACATGGTTTGCCTTGTTCATCCATTCAAAACAGCCCAGTTTGGGCATACATGTGACATAGTTGGAAGATCCCTGGTATGTTGTCATGGGTTGTCTCAAGTGAGTCGCCCCTGAAACAATATCAAGGTCATCCTGACGCTTGTACGTAAATGACTCTCCCAAAAAACTGTTTGAGCACCCCCCTCAAAGAAGAATCCTTCAAACTGTGGGTTGGCACATGGTCCTTCCTTTGGCAGAGGAAATCCGGAGGGCCAAGGCGCATGGTCGGTGGGTCAAAACCCTCACACCCTTGGCCTACAGAATCGACGGCCTACAGATGAACTGAAGGAACCAGCTGACCCACCGACCGGGACCACGCTCCCCGAGGTTTCCGGGACAACTTGGAAGCCAAGGACGGTCCCGACCCGATCGTCGGGGGGTTCGGAACCCGCGGAACCCGCGGAACCCGCGTGGAGCGTTCCGCTTCGGACGGTCCCCAGGGGCTGGCGGAACCAGGTTCGCGACACGAAGGGAGCATTTCGGACGCACCGAACGGGGTGGGTGAACCACAAGGAGTAGGGGGACTCATCGTGGTTCCGTCCGACAGCGGCATTGGCTCGTGCGTGGTGCTGCAGTTCTGGCCGCAGCACACCCTGCGGTGCTACCGTTCATTCAATTCTCCGTTGAGACGACGGATTCGCGTGCGTCCGCATGCTTGAAAGGGAGGTTTGATCTCATGCGCTCGCTGTCGCAGCGAAAGGGGGCGATTTCTGAGGTACCCAGACACATGTCAAATCCCTAGGTTTTGAGGGACCTGTCAGGCTGTGAACATAGCTTCTGGGTAGGCGATTGATCCAAGAAGTGTCCCAGGACACGAGTCGCAAAACCAAATGAACACCACCAGACATACAACTTTTTGCCACCCTAAGGCAGCCCAGTCTGATGGAAAGTGGTAGAATGCTGAGCATATCGAGCAGACAGCGTGACTCGGCTGTGCCACGTAGAGTTCGGAAGGAACGCGGAAGCACTGGCGAAGTCGCTGATCCAAAGGTGCAAAATCTCCAAAGGAGACTATAGTGGTCCCCAAATAGATAGAAACGGTGTCCAATACATTGCGAAAGGGATTTTACATGATTTTACTTTTCTATCTATTTGGGTGTGTATATCGCAAAATCTCCAAATCCTGAACCCACCCGAACTGCCCAAGTCGCTTCTTTTTGGCCGAGCAAAAACAGCTGACACGCCGACGGGCGCTTCACCGTCCCCGAGTGCCAGGAGATCAAAGGCGGCTCGCAAGGCGCCTCCTTAGGCGAGCAGCGGTGGCGCCTCCTCCACCGCGGAGAAGAGCGATGACGGTTGAAGTGGTTGGACAGACCGTCATTGATCGGAACTGGAAGAAAGAACATGAAATAGGGGAACCCATGTTCAGTTCTTGATTCTTGTCTTTTCCTCCTTCGAGATTGATAGGAGACGATGAATGGATTAGGCATCAAGCATTGTACAAACCAAAGCGTTTCAGCCAGTTGTAGCTCTTGACACACCTTTCACTGGAATGAGCCAGGGACAGGTCGTGGCTGGAGATAAATGGGTTGTGACTCCCCTTTGGTGAGAAATGCTGGAGGACGGTCATGAGTGTGACATCCTACTGTTTGTAGTTCCTCAGGTTTTCTGGGATCGTAGCCATGTCCAGGGCGCTTCCAGTTGTTGTTTTGGATGCAGACTGATGTCTTGCTTTGTTTCTGTGTTTCAATGGTCTATGTGGGGGACGCCTCAATGCTTGCGTTGTTCATAGTATAGTGGTTGCAGAGTAGATGGCACAATCCCCAAAAGGTGGTTTATATGGACCCCCATCTAAACTCCAGTGCCATCTACTCTGAAATAATTGTACTCGTAGGGTGAATGACCGGAGGACTTGTTTTTGATTCTTCTTCACTTGTTGAGTGCTGAGGATACCAGCATGCAGGCCTCACACATGTCCTGACGTGCCAAATGCGTGCAGGATGTCCTCATCATGTCATCCTCCAAATCCATCCAAATCCTGCAAGTTTAAGCAAATCAAGCTATCTCTTGTGAATATAGGATTACTCCCAAAAAGACAATTCAAGTCAATCTCGTTCTCTTTGTGTTGTATCTACCTGGAACCGATGTCTACCTGATGACGGCGAGATCTGATCACCGCCCGGGCGCGCACGAAACTACAGGCATCACACCCGGCTGGCGCCTGGTGACGCTGAACGGCGAAGCCTTGAGCGACTCGGTGGCGCGTTCTTTGTGTGTTGGAAGATCTTTGGAACGCCTTGATGGAGACATGCGGAGAGATGTGTACATATACCATCATATACCCTAGAAGTCCAAAGGCTATTGAGGATATGTTGGACCTAGACTCGGGTCACCGTTCGTCAGACCATTCTTCTGATAGTCGACCTTGACTCCCAGATTACGACTGACGAAGAGTCACCATTTGAGTCAAGTTTGATAGTTACTTGGGTCACCAAGAATTCTTTTGATTATATACTTACATTTGGATTTCTTGGTGTCCTGACGGAGTTCGTTCCTTCGATGTGTGAAGTTGTGAAGGTGCTTTGCGAAGACGGATTCGTGGCCAGGTCCGTGACCAAACGACGATGACCGGGAAGTGAAGAACCATGGTTCCAACCCCCTTTTTTGGTCAATAGAAAATGGCCCCTTGCACAGAATGAAGAACGAACTCCACATGGCTGCCAGTCGTCGAACCACATATGTAAGTGTGAAGAGTACTCAAGTATCTATGTACCACGACTTGGGAGTTGTGCATGGTCAACTTGTTCGCCAACCTCGTGTTTCCCATGCGCAGCCCACCGGCGGTCTAGCCTGCTCTGGAGTTTCGGCCTCTATTTGTCCACAATCATCGGTTGGCGGCATTGGCAGGCATCCGTAGGTGCTTTCTTACCGATAGGTGTCAGTTCCAGGGGGGTCTTTTTGACAACTGCATGGATTTCGATTCGAAGGGCACCAAGGGTGTCCTTTCGCAAGGTACTGTTGGTGGAGGACAAAAAAACCTCCGGGAACTCCTTGTGGTGCCGAGAGCGCGGCATGCGCAGCATGCCCAGGTAACAGCAAAGAGCTGGTGGCCAAAATCAAGGCGATTGGATGTGATGGCGATGTGATGCTGTTGGGGGGGAAAGCTGCAGTTCTTGCATGAGGAGTCTTTCAAAGTCTTTGCCAGAGAGGGAATTAATCCCACTGGTGATCACTCCCAACGAAGTCCAATCCAGCTAGCGATGACCTCTTTCTTCGGGGTGAGAGGGTCGGTTTTTCGGGTTTGTCGGGTTGGTTCTCCGTCTCCAGTCTCAAGAGACTTCCCCAGCGGAAGCGGATAGGATCTCGTCCGGTTCCAACGAGATCGCCATCGTGAGGGAAGTTCGTTCGCCATGATTCCTCAACCGGTCCATGTTGGGCCACCGGTCCAGCCAAGGAGTGACAAGGAGAACGGTCCAGCGTTTCGCATCCGGCAGTGGCGTGCTCCGGTGCTCCATTGGGAGTTGATCTTGGCTGAGAAAAACCGTTGAATTCCTGGTTACTAGAAAATGGCAGGTTCAATCAATTCCAGGAGTTCTGTTTGTTTGAAAAGACTTCAAGTGGACCCGGCAAACAAGTTCCCACCAGATTTCTTCGCATGATGGACCGCACATTTGGACCCGTTTTGTTGTGCTATGATGTCATGAGGCGGCAGAGGTCATGAGGCGGATTTGTTCACAGAGGTGAGCATCTTGGAATCCAACCAAACAATGTCCAGTCCAGACTCAGACCAATCTCGGATGCAAAAATACCATAAGAAAGCACACCAACAAGACGAAGCCAAAAACAGAAATTAGGTCGTTGTTCAGAGATCTTTCATTCGCAACCTGCATGGCTCTCGTCTTGTAGAAAAATCCTTTATCTTCAACAGCTCAGATGATATTACCCACTGGCTGATTCCTGCCGGAGCTCCCGGCCACTCCAGGGCCTGAAGAGCTCGGGCGCCAGCTCCGCGTCCTCCCGGTGGAAACGCCCCGCCGAGGAGCGCGGTTTGGGAGGTGGGTTGGAGCGCCTCCAACCTAAGAGCGTTTCGTTTGGAGCAGATGGGAGTTGGTTGGGTTGTATTGGTGAGTATTGATGGTGGCTGGTGGAATTTCAGGTCCTGAATTGTTGGTCTCTATGTGAGAGGCAGGAGACTGTGAAGAAGGTTGCTTCAGGCGGATGGTTTTGCTGCAAGAGGAGAAAGAACAAGTTTTCCTTATGGTTTCTCTTAAACGGTTGCGGGTCAACACACCCCTCCCGGCCGCGGACCCCACGGCCGTGGCGTCTCCTCCCTCTCGGCCTGGAGGATGTGGAGGAGATCACCCTGGATCCCCAGCAGCCCTTGGGCGTCGCCTGGACCGACGACCTCCACGTGCAGGCGGGCACCGACCGCGGCGCCGAAAAAAGAGGACGTGGGAGTGCGCAGCGTGGTTCGTAGCCATTTGGCTCAAGTTGCGAATCTCTTGCTCGCCCCCCCGGTAGGTGATTTTATCTACACACATGATGAAGAAGCCTTCTAGCACACTTGTTTGCACCGCCTTCAGTGGTAGGTGCTTGACTTCCGCTGGCAAGGGCCACACTCTCCACGAGTGTTCCAACAGAGACTGGTGTCTCTTCTGCGGTCTTCGCTCACCTGATGGTAGTGTCGATCACAAGACCTCAGAAGGAAGCTTCACCTGTGGAAGCAAGATCCACTCAAGGCAGTGTTGGAACTTCAGGGCGGCGACTTGTGAGTTCTTGCGATGGCCTCTCTGGCCATGGAGGAGGTCAAGAATCAAGGGTGTCAGTCAACGATGCAACAGGAAGGCGTGGGCATCCACCTTCACAACCGTCCGGAAGGGGGATGCGTCACACGTGTGAGGTGAAAAAACTGCCATTGCGTAGGAAGAGGTGACACCATCAGGCGGACAAAGACGGAGGACGAAAGGATGAAGATCGATGAAGGATGAAGGATAGCTGATTCAAAGAGGACGTGAGGATCCAAAAGATAAAGCTGGGACGGGCACTGCGATCCTCAAGGGAGGGCTGAAGGACGACGCTCAAGGATAACTTGCGGGAACAGCGCTTCAGTGCGCTGCAGGTGATGCCTCGCAGGGTGACCAAGCACCGTCTCACTTCAGATAGGCATAATGTTGGATCCTGAAGAATCAAAAAAAGGAGTGGGAGTAATACATTAAAGGTCATGAAAGTCTTCCAATTGTTTTCTCCCTCACCCGGTTTTTTGGGGGTCGGACATCAATTCAGAGGATATCCATACACACACACACACACACTTGAGATTATGCGTACGGATGTGAATGCCACTCGCCACACGGCAACCTAAGAGACCAGAATCCTGAACAACCAGGTATGGAGGCCTGAGCGCCTTTAGTTAAAGGCCAAAAGTTCAACTCCACGAAACGACGAACAGGTCGAAGTGGCGACGTTCGTGCATGACTGCAGAATGCATTAGCACTTTACAGCACCTGAGAAACCTGCAAACAGCCTGGGCCAGGGTGGACCACTGGAGTCATTGTTTTCGAAGCAGGTACACAGGGATGATCAGTCCCTGCATCCTGGTCATCTGCATAGAGCTTCGTTGGCGACAGCTATGCAGTGACCCTGTGGCCCCTTGCATACTACTTCAGCCTGCCGAGAAATACATTCCAACAGGAACCTTGTGACTCCAAAGGTTTCACACACACACACACTAGACAATCTGGCCGTTTTGGCTGGGCAGACCCGTCAGACGGCCATCAACACCGGTGGCACCCTTTTCGGCGGTAGCAAAGCGAAGCCAGCGGTTGCCGTGGTTGAGTGTTTGGTGAAGCCTGTTGTATCAGCTAGCACGGTTTCTCGTTTTTCCATTCTTCTAGGGGGGCCCCATGGCTCAACCACAATAGCGACTCATGACTCATAACTCAAGTCTAGCTTTACCCCACTCTTGACTTGACTGGTTGATCTGGTGGCCTTGGAGCTGCGAGCGTACGCGACCGAGCGGGCACGAACGGTGAAGAGTAGGATAGTAGGAGTTCCCGGCCAATCCCAAGCCGATGAGGAGTAATCCTCAATGGTTTTTTCGACGTTTGGTTTGGTGAATTGAATTTCCTAGGACAAAAGATGTAACAACCATACCTTTTTCACGGTGGCTCAATGAATCAGTAGTCTACATAATTGTCATATTGTCTACATTCCCCTAGAATTGATTCGTTAGATTCATTTGATTTGTCATAGTAATATATTGTCTATATAGTCATATATTGAAATATATATATTTTTTTTAATGTATTGTCACATGATTCGTTCGATTCCCCTGGTCCTCTCAATTCCTCGTCCTCATCTCCATCATCACCGGTCCTCTCCGGACTGCGGGGAAGACCGATCAACTGAGCTCTCGGGATGGGACGACTCAACGGTTCTCACCGCGGCCGGGTCTCATCGCGTCAGGAGGTGCTGGCCGGGTCTCAGGCGGAAGCTATGGGGATCCGTGCTCAGTGGACCCTTGGCTGGACTGCTTCGGAGACCTCCGAGACCTCGGAGAACCTCTCAAACTCATGAGCTTGGACCTGACAGGCGAGATTCGGATGCTCGAATTCCGGGGGATCCTTCTTTTTGGGGGAGGGGGCTTCCGTCCAACTTGCAGAAGGGCGTGGGGATTTTGACCAGGAGAAGGTGCCTTTTGGAGCCATCCGTTGGGTCAAAGATGTGATGTTGACCCGGTCAACACCGGTGGCAGTTCGACCGTGCGACCATTGAGCCGCTTTGGAGCAGCAATCCGTTCATTTCGACAGAGCGGTTCAATTTAGGAAGCACGTCCTAGCAAGTGGGCAACCTATGAAGAGTGGGGCGCATTCACATTAGATCTACGAAAAGCATTCAACTTGCTGCCCAGATGAGTCTTGAAGAACCACAATGAGTCATTGTTTTTCGTTGCTTCCGCTGTGGTTAATGGTCTGCCCCCTCTACTGAGCGGTTCTTCTTTGGTTGGTCACAAAACCGAACCGCCGATGCCGCGATTCGGGCCGGTGGCTTCGACGGAGGGACTGGACGGCCGGCCCCTGTGGTGCTTTTGTGGACGCGCCAAACAACGCACCAGGTGGATCGTTTTCCATGCGGAATCCACCACAGACACGGAAATCCTTAAGTACCACAATGGTGACAAGAAGGGGGAATCCACCGTCCTGTTGGGGTTGACGTGGAATCCACTTGACATGTCATGACATGTCGCAAACTCCGCCGGGGAAATCGTTGTTGAAAGGTGTGGCAGCTGCGTAGCTTTTGGGCGATCCACGCCCGAGCTCATCCTCTGGGGACTGAAGTCAATACCAAGAGGACGGCATCTGAAGCCAAAGTCAAAAGCTATGACTTGACCTTAATAAGCTATTTCAGATGGAAGATTGATGCCAAGACAGATGACTTGGCTTCCGCAAGTCATGAGTTCAGATGGTCGATCTTGAAGGCAAAAGTGATGTGGAGGACTGACACAAATGTTGGATAATCGGTTTCCAGTAGAACGCACCCATCATATGGTTTGCTGTCATAATCTGAAGCAAAAGCTTGCACGTAGTGTTTCCTGCAAGCGAATTTTCACAGTGTCCTCAAACCTCGCGGTGGGTTTCTCGTTTGGAAGCTGATTCGGAGAACACAGAATCCAGCATGGTCTTGCACCCAGAAGTGTTATGGTGTCAATTTCTATGTGTCTCCATGTGAACGGAGAATCCAGGATTGTTTCTCCTCCACCAATACGTTGCCACTCAATCCCTCCAAGGAAACTCTTGCAACTGGCCGGGGAAGATGTGAGCAACAAGGAGGTGCGAAAGAAACTGCCGGAGAAAAAGGGACATCGAGAAAATGTTGGCATCTCATCATAGAGAGCTTTTCGTCTTCGTCTTCGTCTTCGTCTCCCTCCTCCTCCTCGTTCTCCTTCTTCTTCTTCTTCGCCCAAGAAATCTATTTTGGGGGGGAGTGTACTTCTACTTGTCGTTTCCGTTGTGATGATGGATGGCGGGCGCTATTGTTGTGACTATCGCTGTAGAAAGATATCATTGCACGTCTGAGACCGTTGTGGTTCTCGCCGACAGCCTCCTTAAGTTGTTATGGGTCTATTTGCGAGTACTTTGTTTTGCTCAAGGTGAACTTGGTTGATTGACACTGTTCTAGTTCCTTGTTGTGTCAGTTTTGCCCTGGCTTTTAGTGTTTTCGCTGATCTTCACCTTGTTGTGACTTCCTCTTGTTCTCTTTGTACTCAGCTGATAGCTCTTGTTCTTCTTGTCTGAACAAGATAAGGCAACAGTTTGAATGCCCGGGAACAAGATGAAGATAAGTGCCAGAGTTCGAGAGTCAGAAGTCCCAAATATCAGGCTTTTCACGTGCAATATGCATTGCTTTTTTGAGTGAATCACGGTTTCCAGTCGCCGATTTAGTGGGTTTTAATGCAAACAGTCTCGGGGAGCAATGTCGGCGTCCACACCCAGAGAAGCCTGAAATCAGGTGAGTTTGCAAGGCTGAAGTCCGGTTGCGGGTTTATGTGTCCTTTGGGCAAAGCTTTTCAGGCGTAATAGCACACAAAAGCTGGCCCATGTCCAAGTTCCTGAGGCAAATGGGTGATGAAAAACATACCTGTTTCCCCGAAAATGGCTGGACTGACAACAACTTCGCCTGGAACCATTACCAACTCGAACCACTCGGGTATGCAAGCCTTTTAGATATCTCCCAAAGTCTTACATTGCTAGATGGGCAGCTGGATTCGCTTGCAAAGCCGCAGAATGTTTGTAATCTCTCACATCCAGTGACGTGTCCAGTGTGTTGTTATCCTGTGTTGTTATCAGCAATTCTCTTTACTTATCCAGAGTGTTTGTCTTCTACGGTCAGGGGACTCCGATCCCGGGAACACTGCAGCTCATGCTTCGACGTGCTTTCATCGATACGTTCCACGTCCCGGTGTGGCGTGGAACGGGGGGGGACACAGCGTGAGACTGTGCATGGCATGGATTTGTGAAGAAAACTGCTCAGTGAGCGAGAAGAAAGAGGACATTCATTGGGGTGTTTTTCGTTGTTCTTGTTGGATGTTTTGGGGAAAAACCAACATGTTTTCTGCATACTTCGAGTCTTTTCTGTGTCACGTCAACCGCCCGCGCGTGGATCTTTGGGGGAAAAAGCACTCGAGCTGTTGGAACCATTCCGCAGGAACCTCCCTTCGAGCGTTTGGTCAGGACGTCGAGCAACAGCTCCAGTTGCGGAAGGATGCCAATGGTGCTTCGAAAGAGGTGGGAGCGAGAAAAATGGGAGCGAGGCACGCAGCGTTTTCCTCCTGTCAGTCCCATACACCTGATGTATACTAGAGGTTGATCCCCGGAGTCAAAGCCATTTGGATTTGGTTTAAGTTCCTAGAGACAGGCCGGAGAGCGGCCTAGCAGCGCACGCAGCGCAACCGATCGCACAGGAGACCTGTGTTGTCCAGTACTTGTCCGGGCCGTGTGGGGGCGGCGGCATGTGGCCGGGCAAAAACCTGTTGAAGTTGCACAAGGAAACGAAGGTCGAACACCATAAGCACCGGGTAGGGCTCATGAGGGGATGCGAAGACGAGATCGGGAATGGCTCCCTCGGTCTTGTGAGGTGGACGGGCGTTTCCTATGCAGTGCCTGGGATGGGAGACTGCAAGAGCTCTTGACAGAAGAGCCATCGACAGCAAAGCAGCGGACGATTCCTTAGAGAAAGTGTGGTGAGAACGTCTGCTGTGGGACCTTGCGGCATTTCCGAGTGGAGATGACCAGCGCCTGGGGTCATGAAATTGACGACATCCTCTTTGAGCGCTTGAGCGCTCAGTTCAAAGCGGTGAGAGACTGGCTGATCTGCGTGCGGTGCGTGCTTTCGAGGGACCTGGCATGTCTCTCTGGACGTTCGAAAGGCGAATGCCCCGTGCTAGGAAGTCGACGGTGTGCGCATTAGTTGAAACGGTGTGTTTTGGGACACTCATAGCAACACATAGCCCCAAGCAATTTCGACCGAGAGGCCATGGCCCCCACCAACAAACTGAATCGACGACCTACCCCCCAAGCTGGAAGTGGCATGGCCTCAAGGGCGATGTTCCTCCACTTCGTCCACTCAAAGGATCTCAAACGGGTGTAACTTGGGTCTCTGCTACTAGTAACAGTCGGGTTTCACAAGCCCATCACTATGTCAGAGATGTCGGCCCTGCAACTGAACCATCATCCACTGTTGCTGGTAATAGGATAGACCCTAATTAACTCACATGATGTTTGACCCACCCACGGGCCGCCCAAAAAGAAAACACTGAGTGGTACCAACTATGGGAGTGTACCATCACATCTCTCCTTCCGCAACGGCTCCAGGTGCGCCTGCGCTTCTCCGTGCCCAGAGGCCTCGTTTCGACGCGCTGTTTCGACGGCGGACAGGACAGGATGACGGTGCCGACGAGCTGGGAATCGTTGGATTCCCATTCCGTACGGGTTCAGAGTACAGAGGATGTGGCTCATTTGAGACGAATTGAAAAACCTTTCGAGCCGACACTGGGCGACAGATCTTCGCAACCTCAGCCATGGGTCTGGAGAACATGTTGGGAGAGGTGCGTACGGAAGAAACAAAGCTCTTTTTCAGAAGGAATTTTGAGGAGTCATGAATAGCGTGAGATGCGGCCTGTTGGCTGAATTTTCTGCTCTTCTGCTTGGACCAGACAGGAAGCGGGAATCGAAGAATGCAAGTTGTGCCGTTCCTGCAGTTTGTCTCAATAACAAACATTAGAGTAATCTTATGACACTAATTATATGACTTATTATGACATCATGGCACCAGTTTCACCAGCAAAATTGATCGAGGTTCCCTCCATGACTGACATGAAGACGCTGGAAGGAGATCCGCATGAGAGCATGGGCGCCTATGAAGACTCCTAGTAGCCCCCGCTGGCCCAAAAAAGGGCCAAAATGGGTCCATCACGAGATCTCTCGTCATTGCGCAGTCTTCCACCAACGGGTTCATCCATCCGTGCCACGCCTTGTTCAGTGAAAAGAAAAACCTGTGTCTTGCCTGTGACGCGCCGCGCGGGCGTGCCTGTGACGGATCCTGAGGATCCGGTGCCAGCGTCAAATGGGCGGAATCGAATCACCAACGACTCACGACCGAACGAAGATGCCCTTGCTTCATCAGCTTGCTTCAGCGAAGCGTCACCGAGTCGTAGATGCGGTTCGTGCGGTTTTTATGCGAAGTCGAAGGTTCACCACGAAATGACGTGCGAAAATATAAAAGCGAGGCCTGACGCCACCATAGATGTGTTTATATGATAATTTCCTTGTTTTGACCTTCCAGCAAACCTGACCGCTCCTTCTCATCCTTGGCCAAATTCATCCATTTTCAATGTTTCCCCCCCTTCCCCCACGCCGTGTCGCACCGGTGTTTTCCACCTTCGCCCGCCCGCGCAAGGCGGCCCACCCGAGAAGCGCCAGCGCACCGGGTGAGACCGGCAGCGGGTCCGGCAGGACTCGTCCGACGAGCCCGGTGATGCCAAAAGGGTGCTGGCGGGTGCGGCAGCGGCGAGGTGCTGTGAATCGGTGGAAGTGGACGGTTGGGGAGGAGAGCGAAGAAACAGGTCGTTCGGATGGATCCGCATCGAAGCCAAACGCGTGAGGTGGCAGAGGGAGTTGACTCGGGGGACCGGGCAACATGGTCCGATCGGTGGCTGTCACAGATCGCATCGCCTCAAAAGGGGAGCGAGCTTCGATCATCTGTCACGGATCGCTGCAGAGGAGCTGAACGGAAGCAGGGATCAGAGATCAAAGGACATGAGTTTGTGAAGAGTTTTTGTCATGAATATGAATATCGCTCTTTTCAATGGAAAAACGTCTTGGGCATGCTTTCCTCATGGTCTGCAATATATGTCCTCATCACAATTTGTTTGGGAATGTTCTTCACCTTTCTGGAATCCTTTGAATACTTGATCTGTTCGATCGTCAGCACTCGGGAGACAACACAACACGAACAAAACCACCGTTCAAAACCAGGCATTTTTGTGGCGTCACACAGGGCGTCAAAACGGATCCCGTCGAAGGCGCCCAACGGTTGGAACACCATTTGGAGCAACGAACGTCACACAGGATAAAGGTCCTGGAGCGCTCCCGTTGATCCGTGCGATCGAAAACCGGAAGACGATCGATCCATCGCACCGAGGCACCGAGGCTCAACAGGACAACAGACTGACTGGTGCGACGGACGAAAGCAGGGACTGACGAAAGCAGGGTGGGGAATGAGGGAATTGGCTGGAACCAATAGAATCTCTATTGGGGCGAATTCATTCCCTCATTCCCTACTTTCGTCGCACCAGTCAGTAGAAAGTGGATGATTCGATCTCCACGCCATGTGACTCGCCATGTGGCGCCCTCCACCAAGCGCCGGCGGCCACACGGACCGAGCCGCAGGGGGGGGAAAGACGGTGGCGAAAAGAAGAATCCCCAACAGCTGGGGAATCATGACACATCGTCATGACATCTCACATGACATCTCATGACACGTCTGACTCTTGATAGAATGGGCCCACTCGTGGGCGGATTGGAATAGCGACGATGGTGGCCGAATTACGTCGACCGGTGACGGCCGAACGGACCGGACCGTCTATCGGACCGGGTGACCGGAGCGTCCGGAGCCGCAGAAACGGTTCGGAGCGAACCGGTGCGGTGAGAGCGAAGCTTGTGACTGGTTGAAGTGGTGGTTGGAATAGGTTGGAATACTAGGGCCCCAAGGATAGAAAGACTAATTCTTCATTTACCTGCATGGTACAGGGCGCATGGTAGTGCAACCAACGTGTGCAGTGTTTGCCAACGACCAACTTTGCTGACAACAGTGTGTAGACAGGTCCAACCTTGTTCGTGGACGTGAAACTCCCACTGGCTCGCAGGATTGTCGTATTAATGAGACAATGTGTCCAGGTAAAGGATGACGATTGTTGAGCAGCCTAGCCATCACATCAGACAAAATGTTTGCTTGGATGTGTCAGTCTGCGGATGTTGCTTGAACTCATCCACTGATGTGTTGAATGGTGATTTAAGTGAACAAGCACCACCGACGGCCGACCGATTTGTGAGAAAGAAGCGAAAACTACGAATCATTGCGACCGCATCCAGGAGTTCTTTTTGTCTTTCCATCTAGGATGTTTGGTTAGACAACCGGACCTACCATCAGGGTTTGAATGAATTTGGTTTAGAAAATAAACTGCCGGGCATGGGTGCCGTTGCTATCCATCATCCACTGGGGCCCTCAAAAAATGTCGGGATATACACCAAAGTATACACCAACTTGTCAATCGTGAACCTCGTGGAATCACAGAGGAATCCTTAGATTGTTGAGCAGGGGGGCGGATCCCACATTGCCATTCAGTACGCCAATCTCTTGCTTCGTGTGATCTGAATGTGTTCCGCGTTCCGCGTTCCGCTCGCGCACAGCTGGCCTCTCCACCCGCAGCTTGGGCTCCCCACGGTCCACGAGTGACCGAGTCTGGCCGTCCCTGCACAGTGCATCGGGGACCACGCGGCGAGGACGGGTCCAGCCGATGGCCAGACGGGCCAAAGGACGTGTGATGCAAAAGATGAAGGAGACGTCATCACAAAGAAATCGCACCGAGTTCAGGAGTTGTCCTACGTACAGCAAAATTCGCATCCGAAGTCAGATCGAGAGCAATCGGGAGAAAGAAATATATCGAGGAAAATGGAACCCAAACAAACCTGAGAAGCAACAGTAAAAATCACATCTTTGGTGGAAAAATAACCCACCTCTCTGCCGACTCCACCTTTTCCAGATCCCCTTTTTGACCCCCAACGGAAGTTCTCCGCTTTGCCAACCGAGCGGCGGGTCTCCCGGACGGACGTTGATGGCGGCCGAGGTGGTCGGAGCGGCAGCTCGATGGGGTAAATGCCCTGAATTGGGGTCCGGGGATTTCCTTCGGGTCCTTCGGAAGAAAAGAAGAAGTGGACAAGTCAATCATTTCGTGGTGGTGAAGCAATCATGTAGACTCGTGATGAAGAGGTTTTGCAATCCATGTCTCAGGGGTGTTTGCTATCAAGAGTCTCCATTAGGAAGGGGATTACCCCGCTACGGTCGTTAGATGTTCTTAGCATCGTGCATGAACAGAAGGGTAATTCCCCCTTCACTTGGACCAAGCCACAACGCGGGGGGGAGTCATCTCCTGGTTCCTCATGGTTCTTCATGGTTTTTACACCATGACTCCTCGTTGGAGCAGTAGCTGAGGAGTCACATTTGTGTCTGACAAGAGCAGGCAGGGTGCCTCCCAGGGAGGCGTCCCAGCAAACCAGCACGTCGGTACGAGATGATGGTCTTCACTCCACTTGCTGGTCATGGGAGGGCGGACCCATGAGACGGATGAGACCCTAACCCGCATGGCATCAGAGAAGCCCCATGGCATCTCCGAGGTGGTTTCGTCGAGAAAACAGGCCGTAACAGGAGTCCAAGCCTCATTGAGTTCAATAGCATTTGAGGGTGTGTTCAAAAACTTCGGACTGTTGACGACAGAACTCTCTACTACTGGAGGTCCCCACCTATTGCTTTGCTTGGAGGCTTGGGATAGGTCAGTAACACTAGATGTTTGACCCACAGAGCTTCAAGTTTAAAACGCCCCATGTATATAGCTCTATCTGACTCTGGACATGTGAAGCAGGGTTAGCTATATCTTCATAGCTTCATACAGGAACCCATGTGCAAAACGGATGAAGACGTGGAGAAGACCTTTGGGGCCGCGTGGAACCTATGCCATGGTCGTCAACCGGAAGCCGGAACGCGAACCGCCGGAGATGTCTCGAGACCAAGAGCAAACCGCTGCAAGCGGTGTCGGTCCCGAACGGTGGTTGCTGCAAACGTTCGGAAGGGGGTTTGGAAGGTGGTGGGAGTTGGTTGCATTTGTTATGTTGCTTCTAGAAATTCCATGGCTTTATACCAAGACAAGTACCAAGACATTCTCCTTAGTGCTCCTTGGTGCTTGGCGGCCCACCGCCTCCAAGGAAAACGACGAGGAGACACCCAAAGACATCGTGGTACCTTGGCATATTTTTGCGCGATGTTTGGCTTCAGTGCGGGATCTATCGTCCTTGTTGCGATTGACCAGTGCATGGGTCTGGTGCGACCCCAAAAAAACCTGCGCCTTTCAGTTCGAGTGTTTCCTCTTGCCAAGTAAGTGGCGCTATTGTCATTTGTGATGCACTGTTTCTCTTGCACCCATTGGCCCGTCGGATGTTGACGCGCGGTGTCCGACCACCGAAGCACAGAACGGACGCACGGTGTCCCTTCCCCCGTGTTTTGCAACTCAGAGGACCAGACGACTCAGCAGCCACGACTTTTCAGCTCGCTGAGAGAAGGGATGAGCGGTTTTTCATTCAAGTGAAGGATGCCAGTTTTTTTGAGTCAAGAAAGAAGGAAACCATATGGAGATTTCAAGTCAACCAAATGAATCTGATCAGATTCAAGCTCGCTTTTCCCGGACCGCCACCACTCTTTCTGGCTTTAGCGCGGCGGTCGCCAGAACCAGTCGCACTGCACGATATGGAAATGATGGAAACCATAGCTTTGAACGATTTGCGGAGGAAGTGGTCTCAAAGACTTGCTTTTGGAAAAACGAGCTGGATCCACTGGGAAAAGACTGTTGAAGCGTGCATCCAAGTCCGTCGCCTTGCCACAATCCACCCGAACAACCGTCCCGCCCAATGCCCACATCCTCCATCTCTCCACCGAACCACGCAGCACGCGAGCCGCTGCGCCGCATGTGCAGGTGGATTGGATGGCCGATTGGATTTGCAAGATGGAGGCCACATTCGGGGGTGGGAAAGGAGAGTCCAGAGTCGGAGTGGGGCAGAACCACACGAGCCTGTGGTCGCTACTCGTGGTGGTGGGCTTTGCATGTTTACACGAACCTGACAGTGAGCCGCCTCCATTCATATTGCCCATGTAGTTGTGATGTTATATGACATAATTACATGAATGAAAAATATACTTCATCATCGCGCAGGAAGCTACACAGCCACCCTTTCAATCAGGCCTCAAGTACTTAGCCTGTGGTTCCTGTGTGCTTGGTTTAAATCTGCACATTGCATGTGCATCCACCAATAAGTGATGCACATCCTGCTTCTGTTGCACCTCAAACACTTCATCAAGTATTCCCCTCACATAATTCACCACCAGTGATTCAGTCCAACATCTCCACTTCACCCAAAATCCTCCGCCAGATCCACCTCTTCATCACCTCAGGTCATTCGTCCCGAGCTGCTGCGCGCCGTCCCCGTGGCCTGCGCCTTGCGCGGCCTACGGCGGCCGACGGCCAAGGCCAAGGACCACCCACCGCCCACCGCGGCGCCCACCGCGTCGGAGTGTGGTGTTATGTTTTCGGTGGGTCGGAATAGCAGGACTTTTAAGAAGTACATGTGGTGTAGTTGGGGCGGGATTCACATTAATATATGTATTG